AGGAGAAGGGGACAACAGAGGATGAGATGGTTGGATGGCATCACCGACTCAATGGACATGAGTTTGAGTAAACTCCAGGAGTTGGTGATGGACAGGGAGGCTTGGCGTGCTGCGATTCATGGGGTCGCAAGGAGTTGGACATGACTGAGTGACTGAACTGAACTGATACATTGAATTTCAGGTATGGGAAATATCTAGGGGCTTAATAAATAAAATCGACCTGGTATGTGAAGGATAAGTGATTTAAAGAAAAGTTTTTAAATGGTTTTAAAATACATATTTCCCCTAGATATCTTTTTTTTTAAACACCTTGAAATAAAACAGTCAGATTAGTCTAATTTGTGTAACTAATTGATGAAATCACTAGACTGGGGTTAACCTAGTGAAGAAATGGGTAGAATCCCATTTTTAGTTTCTTTCATTGTTTTGTTACTTTCAAGGAAGAGAGAAATAATATTCCAACAGGCTTCTCTGGTGGCTCAGATGGCAAAGAATCCTCCTGCAATGGGGGAGACTTGGGCTGGGAAGATCATCTGGAGGAGGGCTGGGTAACCCACTCCAGCATTCTTGTCTGGAGAATCCCCATGGACAGAGGAGCCTGGTGGGCTACAGTCCATGGAGTCGCAAAGGGTCAGACACAACTGAGCAATTAAGCACAAGCACAAAATATACATGATATAAAATGTACCATTTTAACCATTTTTAAGTGTACAGTTCTGTGGCATTAGGTACATTCACACTGTTGTGCAGTTATCATCACCTTCCATATTGGAAACTTTTTCATGTTTCCCAACCAAAATTATGTACCCGTTAATATTAATACTAACACCCCATTCGTGCTCCCCCTACCCCTTGGAAACCACCATTCTACTTTCTTTCTCTATGAATTTGACTACTCTAGGTACCTCATATAAGTGGAATCATACAATATTTGTCCTTTAGCGAATGGCTTATTTTGCTTGGTGTAATATCTTGAAGATTCATCTATGTTGTAACTTGTGCCAGAATGTCTTTTCTTTTTAAGGCCGAATAATATTTCACTGGGCTTTCCTTATGGCTCAGCTGGTAAAGAATCTACCTGCAATGCAGGAGACCTGAGTTTGATTCCTGGGTTGGGAAGATACCTTGGAGAAGGGAAAGGTTACCTACTCCAGTGTCCTGGCCTGGAGAATTCCATGGACTGTATAATCCAGGGGGTTGCAAATAGTCGGAAACGACTGAATGACTTTCATTTCTTCCAATATTTCGCTATGTGTATATGCCACATTTTGTTTATCCATTCATTTGTTGATGGATATTTGGATTGCATCTTTTAAATAATGCTGCTATGAACATTTTGTATGCAAATATGTTTTTGAAGGAAAAGCCCCCTTTATAACTTAGAAAAAGAACTTCTACGTTTATTCCTATGCTTTTTAAATGCAAAAACTTTCTCTGTCCTCAGATACCTACTCATAGGGTGGATACAATACTACCACTTGCTTGCAGAACACAAAAATTCAGAGGTGAAGAATCTGCTGCAATGTTATTTATCTTCTGTTCTGACACAAATAACATACTTGCTCCACAGACAGTGAAGTCTGCAAGTGTATTACCACTCTGGAACTGGAGTACAGGTTTGCCAACCAGTGACCTGGAACCTACATGCAGTAGCACCACAGCATGCATGATACAGAGGTATAAGAGAAAAATAAAAATAAATCAGAGGACCCAATTAAACCTGAAGCAAGCTTGTTTCTAGCTCAGCCTTTTCAGCCTCTATGAAAAAGAAACGAAGAAAGACTTAAAGTTGAAGCAGAACCAAAAAGATTGAGTATAAAGGGGATGTGCTTTCTAAAAGAGAGGTAAATATAGTCAGAAGGAAGATAACACCAGAGTCTGGCTGGATCATTGGGTTAAGCAGAAGCCTAGGAATGAGGGAATATTGCATTGGGGTATCTCCTCTGGACAGTCTTTCCAAAGCCCCCAGTCTGTTAGTGCTGTCACAGCACCCTACCAGTAGCTCCTCATAACATCCTCTCCTAGTTTGAAAGGAGATGAAGCACTCTTCGAGCTCTCCTGGAGTTTATACTCTGATAATGGAGAAGAGGAACAGTTCAATAGCAGTAAAGCAACCAAGAAACAAGAAATATAATGAGCAGCAGAGACAATGATGCTTTAGTGAAAAAGGAAATCAATACAGGCTGAAGNGCAGAGACAATGATGCTTTAGTGAAAAAGGAAATCAATACAGGCTGAAGCTTTTGTAAGCTGACTCAGGCAGAATTTGGAAGGGGAAGGACTTCCACTGCAATTGGAAGAACAGGAGGATCTGAAGAGATGGAGAGGGGGCCCTCTGAGAGATGTTAACTTGTGTAAGTTATGCTAAAGGGCAAAGCATTTTTTTTTTTTTTTTTGGCCAGTACCAGAGTGTTTTTTCCTCAAAAAAAAGAAAGGAAGAATGAAAGAAAAAAAGGACAGTTTAAAACTAAGCATCTGTTCTCTCCTTTAGGAGCACTTCCACATTTATTTTAAAAAGTTTTCTTTCCTTAAGTTTTATTTTTTTCTGACATAACTAACATCACAGCTTGACAAGATTATCTCTTTTCAAGGACTTGTTATAGTGTCAGAAACAATTCAGCCACCATTTTCAACTTTGCAAGCTGGGTCAATCTGTGTAAAACTTGCAAGTTAAGTTCCAAGTACATTTCAGAGTTTCAGGTTGGGATTGGCAGAACTGGGTCTTTAGATTCCTTGATAACTTTGTGCTGCCAAAAGAGTTAAGGACTTCAAGGATTTCAGGATCCAGTGAACTTATTGGTAGTTTTGCAGTTTTCCTCTTATCTCTGAATCAGCAATTCTAATGAGCAGTTTGCCAGTGTGCACAATAAATACTCACTAAAGAGCAATTAGAACAAATAACCATTGAGCATTCAATGAATAGGAAATTTACACATTTCCCTAAAGTAATTAGCATTCTTTTTCCTTGCTTTGTTTAAATTTTGTTTTTACCTAAATTACCTTTAATGCTGCCCTTAGTAAAACAGTTTAAAATAAGAGTCATAAGAATTGGATCTTTCTTAAATAGACCAAAACTGTATCTGAAGCTATTGAATACAGATCAGTGGTCCTATTTATTTTCCAAGGAAGTCTTTCTTATATCTCACATTAGGCCTGGATTTTAAGACCTTGATGTTGGCACTATCATGGAAATCCCCGGAGTTCCATTTTTACCTGTGTATTTATAAAAACAAAGTACACAGAGGGTTAATGACTTGGAAGCATTATTGTGAGTTGGGAGAATGCCTTCCTTCTCACATCTTGTCTTGGAAACAAGCTAGTAAAAGTCGTATTACCCCAAGTGGAACTGAGGTGAGGCTTAGCAGAACTGTTCTGAAAGTCTAGCCTTGAGCTAAAGAAGAAGCAAGAATATCAAGAAATTAAATATCCCTGAACCAAAGGGTGTCAAGTAAAAGAGATATGGCCTTATTATCCACAAAGTACATTTCTTGCAAATACAAAGGTTTTCAAAACTTTTGACCCTTTTCCTTTGGTGTAAGACTTGTAGCTTATTATAATATTGTTCTTGTTAACCTTCCCTCCTCTATCCTTCACTCTGTGCCCTCAGGAGTGAATTTCATATAACTATTTTAACAACAGAAGTGTGAATGACTCATGTTAGAGCTGTCAACTACATATTGGCACTTACCAAGACCATTGCCAAGGACTGAACAACAAAGGCATTTGCCATCTGCCTCTATGAGATTGAACCCCATGCTGCTATAGCTATTGGCCTTCAACAATCCCTGAGGGGGTTCAGGATGGAGTGAGGCACTCTGTGCTCCAGGGAATCTGGTGGGACAGGTCTTTAGATAGTTTGGATGTTTTTAGGAACAGATTTTATGATCTCAATCCTTGCATCTCCTCATATCTAAAGAAGCACTAAATCCCTTCATGGTGACATCAGATCCTCATGACTAACAAAAACCTTCTGTAAAATGAGTGCTTCATGGTATTGAACTCCCCCTTCACCAAAACCTTATATATTGACTTTCTTCCCCTGCAGATATGGAACAGTCTCTCAGAGCTATCTGAGATGCTGTCCCCCTGGGCTGTAGTTCTTATTTTGCTGTAATCTTTGCAAAAGAGGTGGGAAAAAATTCCAGTATTGGATCAGTTTTAGTATTTTTTTTATAACTAAATATAAGTAATATTTAGTAAGCTATTTAGGTTACTAGTAAGTAGCCTCACATGTACATAACAATTAAGTCCGTGACATTTCATGTGATTTATTCAACCCATATCAGCTAAAGAAGGAACTGACAATTTTGAATCACATACCATCTGATGGAAAGTGGTAGCACCCAAAGTACCAAAGACCACTGTTTAAGAATGATCTATCTCGATGAAGTATTAGCAAAGTGTAACCTGGTTTTGTACGGCTCAGAAGCAAAGAAGGAATTTAAAAATTTTAAAAGGGTGAAAAAAAAAAAAAAAAGTGAAATAATCTTTTGTGATATATGAAAATTATTTAATATTTAAATTTCAGTATCTGTTAATAAAGGTTAATTGGGACTCAGCCATGCTCTTTCATTATGTATTATCTGAGTAGCTGTGTCAAAGACCTTATGATCTGCAAAGCCTAAAATATTTCTGTCTGATCCTTTATGTAAGAAGTTTGGTGGCCTAGACTATGACAATTTAAATGACCCCCTATTAGCAGCATCACCAGTACTCAAATTTACAGCTTTTCTTAAAAAGTCTTAGTAATCTGTAGGGGTGGCAAGCTGGAGACCCAGAAGATCTGGTGGTACAGATGAAGACTGAAGGCAGTCAGCTAGATAATTCCCCTCTCTTTTGCCTGGGGAGGCAAGTCTTTTTTTTCTATCTTGGCCTTCAACTACTTGGGTGAGACTCACCCACAGTAGGTAATCTGATTACTCAAAATTGACTGATTTAAAAATTAATCTTGGGAGTTCCCTAGTGGTTCAGTGGTTAGACTTCATTCCCACTGCAGGGGGGCTGGTTTGATCCCTAGTTATGACCGACCTAGATAGCATATTAAAAAGCAGAGACGTTACTTTGTTAACAAAGGTCCGTCTAGTCAAAACATGGTTTTTCCAGTAGTCATGTACGGATGTGAGAGTTGGACTATAAAGAAAGCTGAGTGTTGAAGAATTGAAGCTTTTTTTTCTTTTTTAAAAAAGTTAATTTATTTTAATTGGAGCTTAATTACTTTACAATATTGTAGTGGGTTTTGCCATACATTGACATGAATCAGCCATGCGTGTACATGTGTTCCACATCCTGAACCCCCTCCCACCTCCCTCCCCACCCCATCCCTCAGGGTCATCCCAGTGCTCCAGTCCTGAGCACCCTGTCTCTTGCATCAAACCTGGACTGGTGGTCTGTTTCACATATGATAATATACATGTTTCAATACTATTCTCTCAAATCATCCCACCCTCGCCTTCTCCCAGAGTTCAAAAGACTGTTCTATACATCTGTGTCTCTTTTGCTGTCTCGCATATAGGGTCATTGTTACCAGGTTTCTAAATTCCATATATATGTGTTAGTATACTGTATTGGTGTTTTTCTTTCTGACTTACTTTACTCTGTATAATAGTCTCCAGTTGCATCCACTTCATTAGAACTGATTCAAATGCGTTCTTTTTAATAGCTGAGTAATATTCCATTGTGTATATGTACCACAACTTCCTTATCTATTCTTCTGCCAATGGACATCTAGGTTGCTTCCATGTCTTGGCTATTGTAAACAGTGCTGCAATGAACATTGGGGTACACGTGTCTCTGTCAATTCTGGTTTCCTCAGCAGTGGGATTGCTGGGCGTATGGCAGTTGTATTTTCAGTTTTTAAAGCAATCTCCACACTGTTCTCCATAGTGGCTGTACTAGTTTGCATTCCCACCAACAGTGTAAGAGGGTTCCCTTTTCTCCACACCCTCTCCAGCANAAGGAGTAATAGAGGACTTTAAAATAAGAAAAAGAATTTAAATTTAAAAAATGATAATAGTAAAGATATATCTAGAAATTTCTCTGGAGCTGTTGTGGGCGGTGTGGGGTCAGTTCAGTTTCAGATAGTTCCTTGTTCCAGCTTATACTTCTGGAGGTCTATAGGCCCCTTCCAATGTAGTCGGTGCTAGCTACAGGGTTTTAATCTGTTGCACCTGTCACTTCCAAAGTGGTTCCCTCTGTTTATTTTGGCTTCTTCTGTTTGCAAATCTCTTCAGTGCCTAACTTCCACCCTGACACAAAGGGGTGAAGGTGGTCACTTATTTAGGCTCACTTGTTCAGTCTTTCTGTGGGGTGGGAGGGACAGTGCAAACAAATATCACTGGCGTGTGTGGGGAGTGCGTGCAGTGTCTGGGCCACACTGGGTTTGCTCCCACTCATGGCATGTGTGCTTTCCCGGTCTACACTGCGCAGGCTCCAGGTTGCTCTGCAGGGGAACTGTCTAAAGCAGGCCCTGGGTTGCGTGCACTTCCCAGGTCTAAGCTGCTCAGGTTCAGGTTCTTGGGTTCTCCACAAAGGCACGGACTTGGTTGGGCCTGTGTTTTGTCCCTTTCCCAGGTCCGAGCAGCTCAGGTGACCAGGTGCTTGGCAAGCACACTGTCCCCAGGTGTGCAGTGTGTCTTATCATCTCCCCCATCCCAGCCGCTCAGTTTTCCTGGGTGTGCAGTGGGAGCACTGTCTCGGGCGTGCCGTGTTTCTCCTCTGGGGAGCTGATCTCTGGCTGTGACCCTCCTGGTGGATGTCAACTGTCCAGGATCCCAGGAAGACTTTGGTTAGCAACTGGAAGCCTGCTCGCAGTTTGGTAGAGGATGCCGTCTCTGGGGCTGAGATCGCCCCTTTCTGGCTCTGGCTGTCACCTGCCTGCCTCTCTGCCTCTGGCAGGGGATGGGCTGGTCTGCAGCCGGCTAGCTCTCCTCTGGTATTCCCTCAGTCCTTTGTTCTATGAGCGGGTACAGCAGTGCCTTAGGTTAGAGCTTTCATGGGAAATTTCTTTCTCTCTTTTTTCTCTCTCTCTCTGGCTATCCCACAGTTTGGGTTGTTATCTCACATTAGCTCTCTCAGATTGTCCTCAGGACATTCAGGTCTGGTCCTTACCCTAAGCAATGCAGCCCATGCCTCCCCGTTCAGCTCCCACTTGCTAGTGGCCGATGCAAGCATCTG